CGTTTCCGTCCCGGCCACGCTTTTGGCCACCGGGAGGGCCAGGTGGGAGCCAGGCCTGGCCGAGTTCGGAAGGAGGACGGGGCATCCCCGCCCCGCCGCGCCCAGCGACGCCGGCTGGGCCGGGCGGTCCGGCGGCCAGGTGTCAGCCTCCTGCCGGCCGGCGCCTCCGCCGCCCGGCGCGTGTGGGTGTGTGCGAGACTGCGAGCGGTGTCGCCAGCCCGCCCCGCCGCCTCTGCCAGGCTCAGGTCCCGTGCCAGCCGGGGTCCACTGCCCGTTCTGAGCCTGCGGGCAGGCCGGAGGGATCCCAGGCCGAGGAGACGTCTGTCCAAGCAGCCTGGCCGTGGAAGCTCTTGGGAGGAACAGGAGGCAGGTCGGGCGGCGGCAGCATGCCGGCGGAAGGTGACCCCTGGTCGGCAGAGCAGGCGCAGCAGAGAGGGCTGGGCTCCTGGGGGGGGGGCCTGGGACAGCTCTTTCCTCCTGCCTCAGTTTCCTACCTGTAAAATGGGAAGAATCGTCACCGTCCTGCCCGCCCCTGCTGGCGGCTGGGAGGTGATATGGGGCACGCAGGGGTGCTGTGCAGCTGTGAGTGACCGCGGAGTGGCAGAGCCCCTCCCGCAGAGGCTTTGGCTTTCCCGCGGCACAGTGGGGACCCGGTAGCCAGCCCCTCCCCTCCCCCGCCCGTGCCCTGCGTCCACTGCCCCTCCTTGGGAGCTGGGACATTCCGGTCTCATTCCTGGGGCAGCTGCAGACACACCCTCACAGGGCCGACCCTCCAGCAGGTGCTGGACCCTCCCCGGGGACCAGGGCTCAGGAGCTGCTAACTGCAGCTAAGGCTGGTAGGACTTCTGCCCACGTGGGGCGGGGTGTCCCACCGCAGAGGAGGTATGGGTGGGGTCGGGGGTGGGTCCGAACCTGGGGTGCCTCTACACTTTCTCCCCTCGGGCTCAGGCTTTCTCCCCCTGGGCCTCAGTTTCCTCCCCCGGTGTCTTCTGTGCATGTTTTAGAGAGGAAGTGGAGCCCAGATCTGGCCCTGGGGACCCTCCCCGTGTGTCCGCTTTTCCGCTGCTTGGTGACCACGGCACGTTTGTTCTCGGGTCTCCACCAAGATCGGGCCATAAGGAACGCTTCTGTGTGGTCAGGGCTGATCTCGGGGCAGAGGCAGAGGCGCAGGGGAGAGGACCCTGCTGGGTCGCTGGGGACGGTGGGTTTTGCCCCCGACAGGCACCTGGCTGTGGGCTCGGAAGCACAGCGCCTGGCCCTGGGAGGAGCCCCTGCTCCCTGCCCTGCCTGCCCTCTCTGTTGTGGAATCCCAGGGAGGCTGCCTGGCACTTGCTCTCCCGCCTGCTTGCTCCCTCCCCAAATCCTATCCACCTCAGCTGCACAGCTGCCTGGGCCTGAGCTGAAGCTACAGGGCTTCCGAGCAACGGAAGGAAGGAATGCATGTGTGTGCTGGGGGAGGGGCTCCTTGGGGAAAGGGATTGTCTGTCCCCAGACTGAGACCTGGGCCTCGAGGGGCCTCAGCCCTGCTGGGGGAGCTGACAGTACTGTCGGGATTCACTTAGAAAGGGCGCGGGGTGCCCTTGTGCCTGACTGCACGGCTGGCTGACTGCTGTTGGACATGACTGTCCTCACCATGTCCTCTAAAATAGGTTTCTCTGTGCTACTGGGTGGGGCATACACGTGACAGTGTTTTCCAGCTGTGGTCGCTTGCAGTGCTGTGCCCCAAGAGCTGCCGCAGCTGCGGTGGACCCGAGACACTTGGTGGGAAAGGGAGAGACTCTCAGATTCTCTCTCCTGAGACCGGAAGTGAGCATCTGCGGGGAAGCAGAAGAGGGAGTGTTTGGGGTGAGGTGGGTGTACCTGGCCTTGCTGCCAGCATCTCCGCCCCCTGGCTACAGAGGGCTTAGCACAGCCCTCTCACACAGCGGCCTCATGTGGAAGGCAGGGCAGGAGAGGAGACTGAAGCAGGGCAGAGGGGGCTGGCTGGAGGCCAGGTTCTCCAAGAAGCAGTAACAGCAGCGCTCTTCCGACAGTGCTGTGTCCCCGGTGGGCTTGTGGCAGAGGGTGTCGGGTAGGGAGGCAGGGTGATGCCATCCAGTTCTTTGGCTGTGGGTGACTTCCAGGGCCCCCGGGAGACATTTGGCAGCCATGGTGTTGGGATCCCAGGCATCCTCACCTAGGCTAGTTCTGTGACCTTGGGCAAGTCACTGCACCTTTCCAAGCCCCAGGGAACCTAAAAGGGGGGAAGCAACTGTGTCACAGAACTCAGCAGGCCCCTTACTCAGCGCCGCCTTGCAGCAGAGCCTAGTACTTGTGATGCCTTCCTAGGGAAGTCCCCAAGCCCTGTGGCCTGTGATGACCCCAGAAAGGTTTGACCCTGTCCACATGAGGCTGTGATGCCCTGTGTCGGCTCAGATGTGCTGCCCCCCTCGGGGCTGGGGCCGGGCTGGCTGGGCAGAGGCTCCTTTCGCCTGCGGTGTGGTTGAGGGCCACAGTGTGAGGAGGGGGCAGGGCCCACCTGCCCTCCTCCTCCCAGAGAGCTTTGTCTGTGACAAACACAAAACCTGGAAGTGGCTGAGGAAGATGGAGCCTCCTAAGGACCATTGTCTGGGCTGGAGGGGAGTGGGTGTCCCGGAAGCATGGGGGGGGGTGTCAGCCTGTCTGCTGGGCATCTGTGCAGTAACAGGAAGAGCTGCGTGAGAGGGAGGCAGGAAAGGTGGGTCCTTGCAGGTCATTTGCACCCACTGTGTGCGGGCGCTGGGCTGGGCATGTGTTCTAACAGCACCCTGTGAGTGCTGGGCCCGGCACAGGTGGGGACAGCGGGGACAGAGCGTAGCTTCAGCCAGCCTGTGTGGACCCCGGGTGCAGGCCAGCCCGGTGCTTGTGCCGTTATCTCATCCCACCCTGCCGTCACCCCTGTGTGATAAGAGCCATCTTTGCCATTGTCTGAGAGGAAGCCAGAGGCTCAGGCCATGGCCAAGGTCACACAGCCCTGGGCTCCTCTGGCCAGGTCGCGCCTGGTGTGGAACAGCAGCGGCCAGCAGGGGCCCGGCTGCCCCTTCCCGCTGCCTCCCAGCACTGCTCAGACCTGCACACCTGTTCCGGAAGCTGTGGCCATTGTTCCCCCTGGGCCCTTCCTGTTTGTAAGGCCGTCCTTCCTCCTGAGCCTTCCTTTGTGTCCTCCCGGGATCCCCTGCCGCACCCACGCCAGATGTTTCCCTTGGGGAGTTCTGACCCTGGCAGAAAAGGGGCTGAGCGGGTGGATAGAGTCCCTGAGGCCCTGGTTTACTGAGCTTCCTCCCCACCTGCAAGTGGAGGGGGAGCCCAGCAGGAGAGTGACCAAGGCCGGGGTCAGGCAGAACCTGAGTGTGTCCTCCTCCATCTTGGCTGGCCCAGTTCCAGGCGGCAGGCTGGGTTCTGGGAACCAGGCTCAGTTCTGGGAACCAGGCTCGGTCCAGGGAGGCAGGCCAGGTTCTGGGAACCAGGCTCAGTTCTGGGAACCAGGCTCCCTCCAGGGAGGCAGGCCAGGTTCTGGGAACCAGGCTCGGTCCAGGGAGGCAGGCTGGGTTCTGGGTAAGGACCCGCCCCTCTCCACCAGGCTCTCAGGCTCCCAGCTGGAGGTGACTTGGTGCCCCAGCTGATGCCGTCTCCTCCTCCTTAGACTTATCCCAGCAGACATCCAGTGGGTGGGTGGCTTTGAAGCCTTTATCCGTTTTTCTTGCCAGCCTAGGAATTCTGTCCTGCGAGTCCTTTGGGTACCCACCCACAACTGTCTTTTGGGCCTCCCCACGTGCGGCTGGCGAGTGACAGGTTTAGGGACTTGAGCTGGGCAACAGACGCCCCCTAATGGATCCTCTCAACTCCCAGAGGCAGCTGCCTGTGCCCTGCTAGAACTTCATGGCCACAGGCCCAGGCCCTGCTGGCATTGCCATGGGCAGCGTGGGCAGCCTGTTGGAGCGGCAGGACTTCTCCCCTGAAGAGCTCCGAGCGGCCCTCGCCGGATCCCGGGGCTCCCGCCAGCCTGATGGGCTCCTCCGGAAGGGATTAGGCCAGCGTGAGCTCCTCAGCTACCTGCACCTCCCCAAGAAGGACGGCAAGACCACCAAGCGGGCGCCTCGGAACGAGCCTGCTGACTACGCCACGCTGTACTACCGGGAGCACCCACGGGCCGGGGACTTCAGCAAGACCTCGCTGCCGGAGCGGGGGCGCTTTGACAAGGTGCGCCTCTGCCCCTCCTGTTAAGTGATGGGGGGGGTGCTGCGGTCTCCTTGGAGACGCTGATGCCAGGATGGGTGAGGATGGGAAGGGCGGCTGCTGGGGCGTGGCCCGCCTCCGGGAGCCTGGGCCTCAGAGGACTCCCCAGGGACTGCGGGAGCTCCAGGAGGGTAAGCAGAGGCCAGCGCGGGGTCTCATGTCCGCTCTCTCCCCGGCAGTGCCGCATCCGCCCATCGGTGTTCAAGCCTGCAGGGGCCCCCGGGAAAGGCTTCCTGTCCATGCAGAGCCTGGCGGCCCACAAGGGCCAGAAACTGTGGCGCAGCAATGGTAGTCTGCACACGCTGGCCTGCCACCCGCCCCTGAGCCCCGGGCCCCGCGCCAGCCAGGCCCGCGCGCAGCTGCTGCACGCCCTCAGCCTGGATGAGGGGCGCCCGGAGCCCGAGCCCAGCCTGTCGGACTCCTCCAGTGGGGGCAGCTTTGGCTGCAGTCCTGGCACTGGGCCCAGCCCCTTCAGCTCCTCCCTGGGGCACATTAACCACCTGGGGGGTTCCCTGGACCGGGCCCCAAGGAGCCCCAAGGAGGCCGGGCCTCTGGCCCTGCTGAGCTGCCTGCCTGAGCCACCACCGCCCTACGAGCTGTCCTGCCCCACTGCTGAGGAGGTGGTGGCCATGCTGCCGGAGACCTGCGAGGCGCTCAAGAGGGACCTCGGTGACCCGGAGGGCGCCAGCCCCTTCACACAGGTGAGGGCTCCCCAGCTGCGGCATGTGGCCTCAGGTGTGAGAAAGTGAGCGGGAGAGCCCAGCTTGTGCCCCCACCGGCGGGATGCCACGCCCCCGGGGCGTGCCTGGGGGAGTGGGCGGGGCCAGCACTGCGGACTCCTCCGGAGAGCATCCTGGCTTTGGGTGCGTGCCGGGCAGGGCGCTGGGCCCTGGGCTCTGTGGCCCGTAGTGTGGATGCCAAGATAGTGTCGTCTGGAGTGCCCCGGGTGATGAGCTGGGGATGCAGGCAGATTGCGTGGGGCCACTGGTGTGTAAGTCTGGGCGGCCTGTTCTGCGCAGGTGCTCGAGGAGCGCCAGCGGCTGTGGCTGTGCGAGCTGAAGCGCTTGTACGTGGAGCGGCTGCACGAGGTGGCGCAGAAGGCCGAGCGCAGCGAGCGCAGCCTGCAGCTGCAGCTGTTCATGGCCCAGCAGGAGCAGCGGCGCCTGCGCAAGGAGCTGCGCGCTCAGCAGGGCCTGGGGCCCGAGCGGCCCCCGGGGTCCCTGCCGGAGGCCGACCCCAGCACCCGACCGGAGGAAGAAGCCCGATGGGAGGTGAGCACCCCTCCGCTTACCCCCCAACCCTGCTTTGCGGGGCGTGCCTTCACCCCGTCCTGCTCCCCCAGGTGTGCCAGAAGACGGCGGAGATTAGCCTGTTGAAGCAGCAGCTGCGGGAGGCCCAGGCCGAGCTGGCGCAGAAGCTGGCTGAGATCTTCAGTCTGAAGACGCAGCTGCGCGGTAGCCGGGCTCAGGCCCAGGCCCAAGACGTGGAGCTGGCCCGGTTGCGCGAGGCCGTGCGCAGCCTGCAGGAGCAGGCCCCTCGGGAGGATGCCCCCGGTAGCTGCGAGACCGACGACTGCAAGAGCCGGGGACTGCGGGGAGAGGCGGGAGGCGGCGAGGGCGGGGACGGCGCCGAGCAGCTGCGGGCAGAGCTGCTGCAGGAGCGGCTCCGGGGCCAGGAGCAGGCGCTGCGCTTCGAGCAGGAGCGGCGGACTTGGCAGGAGGAGAAGGAGCGGGTGCTGCGCTACCAGCGGGAGATCCAGGGGGGCTACATGGACATGTACCGCCGCAACCAGGCCCTGGAGCAGGAGCTGCGGACGCTGCGGGAGCCCCCCGCGCCCTGGAGTCCTCGGCTGGAGTCCTCCAAGATCTGAGGCCAGGAGAGCGAGCTGACAGCAGACACTGTCAGGGTGCCCGGAGAGGGCTGGCTCCGTCCTGCCACTGGTGGGGCAGAAGCCAGCCCAGCGACGAGGGTCTGCAGGAGGAGGGCTGGAGAGGGTGCTGGCTGCAGGAGCCAGGGCAAAGCCCTCAGGGCAGAGGACCACCCTGGTGGGGCCGGTGCTGCTCCCTGCGGTGGGCGTGGCCCGGGAAGGAGGGCGGAGAATGCAGAGCCCCGGGATGCAGAAGGGCAGGTGAGGTTGGGAAGCCCCTGACCCGGGCTGAGGCCTTACTCGGTGGAAGGAGGCTCAGACCAGAGCACTGGCCTCCTGCAGAATAAAAGTGCGTTTTCTATGAGGACGCCTGGCGGTGCGTGCGCCTGTCCCTGCCTGAGTCCAGCGGGTCTCTGGCTGTGGCCGGGCCGCCGACCTGGGCCGTGAGTGTGCCCCGTGCCTGCGCAGCTGCCGGCCTTGTGTGCTGGGGAGTGGAAGAACCTTGTCCTTGCTCCTGTACTGCACAGCGCCTCAGCCTCCGTGTGGGCTGAAATTCCCTTTTTGCAGCACCAGTGGAGTTTCCAAAAGGAACAGGACAGGAGAATCCCAGGAAAACAAAAGGGCAAGTCAGCCACAACGTTGCAAGACATGGAATGTTCTTTGGTGGCAAGTCGGCCCCCGGTGCCTGAGCCACTGCTGGGTTTGGGGCCCTTTCCAGAGCCCGCCTCCCCGCTTTCTGCTGTCGGGGGCGGGACTCAGGGAGGTGCAGGCACTTGGCATCGTTTGGAAAAGGACCTTTACCACAGCCAGGAAGGAGACATCTCCCTGCAAGCAGTGCAGGCCTTGCCTGGGAACTGTGGGTGTCGAAGCAAGGGTGACACGGCCTCTGATTTGTATTCTGGAAGGCTCTCCCCTGGGAAGAAGTCTCTCCCTCGCCTGGACCTGGCCTCAGAACTGTCAGTCCTGTTTGACACCTGCTCTCAGCTAAGGCTGCTTCTGGGTCCTGTAAAGCTCAAGCCCCCCCGATCTCAGTAGTCTGGCTTCTCCGCTGGGCTGCTCCCCTCCCAGGCTGGTGGCCTGGTGCAAGTGACGTATCCTCTACTCGTTGAAAGAAAGCTGTTTCCCTCGGAGCCTCACTGACTACATGGGACCCTCGTGGGTTGAGGCACAGGGTGAAGTTCTGGTACTTCCTGCCTCGGGGGAGTCAGGACATAGCCCCCTGCCCTCAGGTCCCTTGCCTGGTCGGGCCTCTAGGAACCTCCAGAGAGCACCGGGCAGCTCCCATTGGCATCCCTAGGTGCTCCCGGTTGTAGCCGGCACCCTCAGGTCGGATGGCTTGGTTCTGGTTGTGGAGTGTGTGCCAGGGTGTGTGGCCACTTGTGGGCTGTGGCTCAGAAACTGAGGGGCCCCACCTGTTGTAGGGTGGAGAGGGGTGTGTGAGCTGTCTGTCTTGGGGATGATGTTTACGGCCCTGTGAGTGGCAGGTGTGCGTGTGGGTGTAGGTGTGTCCGAGGGGGTGTGTTTGAGGCACCTGGCCTCCAAAGCTGGCTCCTGGGTTGGAGGCCAGGAAGGCTGCTTCCTCTACCTCCTGCCAGCCCCTTCCCTCTGAACTGCCATGCCTGGGTGCGTCTTGTGTCCAGGACACAGCCCTGGGCCTAGGGGACACCTGTCGAGGCCCATACCTGAGCTAGGGTCCTCTCAGAAGTGCTTGGGTTGGGCAGGCCAGCCCCCCCCCACTTGATACCTACCCTTTCCCATTTCCTAGACCCCTCGGGAGCACTGGGTCCCCAGAAAACGGCCTTCTTGGAGCCAGGTGTTGGCCCAAAGCCTAGATTACTTCCTGCAAGCAGGGGCTGGTCGGCTGGGTGCCCATATTCCCAAGTGTGCCCCCCCCAGCTCGGAGGAACAGCTCCCCACCCAGCAATTAGGGAGCTGGGCCGGCCAGTACAGCCAGTGGGGAGTGGGTGGGCGGTACCAAAACTTGGCAGCCGTGCCAGAAACCGAGGCCAGACCCAGAAGCAGGGGGAGGGCATGGGGCGTCTTAGAGAACCAGATGTCTGTTCGTGCCAGGCAAACCAGTTCCCTGGTCCCCAAGCAGGCTGGGTGGCTCTGGGGCCAGCAGATCACAGGTGTCGCCGTCACTGTGGATCATATTGCTGCGGTGGCCACTGTTTGGAGAAGCCCTTCCCTCCTGCCCCTCAGCTGCCTCGAGGCCAGCTGTCCCCAGCATGCCTGCACCAGGATCCACTTGCGCTAGAAGTGTGGACAGCCCCGCGAGTGCTCCGGCCCCTCCCGGCCAGCGTCACCTTCCAGCAGCTCATGGGCCCCTTAGCCTGTCACTCAAGGCTCTGACTGGCCTCCAGGGTCACCCACGGCAGTCTGTGACCTCAGAGACCTCACAGCCCTCCGTACCCCACGCTCCAGATGAGCCTGGCGAGAACCACAGCTCTACAGGGTGGGCGGGAGGGGCGCTGACTTGGAGCCCCTGAAGAGTGGAGAGGTGAGAGCCGAGTGGGTCCCAAGCCTGGCCAGAGAAGGCAGCTGTGGCCCCTGGCCTGGGCCCTGCACCCCCATCCAGAGGAGGCAGGCCGTGCTCAGCTCTTGCCTTGTCCGGGAAACGGCCCCTAAGCTGCCCGCCTTTCACAGCCCCACGTATCCCCATCAGCGGCCGTCATTGTTGGCCGGCCTCGCTCTGCACAGGACCGCGGGCATGGCCAGGGCAGGGTGGTGACCTGCACCCCCTCCCCAGCCTGCCTTGGCTCCGGCCGTACAAGGCACTGGGGGAAGTGGAGGCAGCAGTGGCCAGAGCTCCCCATGAGGATGGCTTCAAGGTGGGGAAGGTGCTGGCTCAGCCGTTCATGGGCACCTTTGAGCGCCAGGTCTGTGCCCAGCACAGGGCCCTCGGAGGTCATCACCTCCGTTCAGCAGGGACGTGCTTTGGGCTCAGATGTGGTTTCTGGTGAGGGAGTGGGTGGCCAAGGCTCTGCTCCCATGGCTCCCAAGGGGTAGACAACACACGGCCACCTAGCGAAGGGGGACCAGGGCCAGGCAGGAGATGAGGACTAAGGGGAACCTGGGGGGTGCTCAGCCACTGACGTGAGACACGAGGCCTCTGTATCAGGGAGCAGACATCGGATCGTGGAGAAAGGGGCTGTCTGGGAGTGTCATGAGGGTGTTGGGCAGCCTTTCTCCAAAGAGGGTGCAGCCCCATGGTGATGATCTGGGAAACCCCTCTCATGGGGGGAGCTAGCCTTTTTCTACCTTGGATTCGGAAGTGAAAAAGGATGGCATATTCCTCTTGACAAAAGTGGGTGACATTTTACAAAGGAGGTGAGGCTTCTATGCCTGGGAGTTCAGCTGAGAGCAGCTCATGTAGTCCAGGTGAAGGCGGGGAGGCGGCTCCCTGCAGGGAGAAGGCCATGCTGGCCTCTGCAGAGGGTGAAGGGCTTTGCTGCTTTCTGGGAGCAATGTGGGTGGCACTGGCGGGGCGGGATGCATCTGATGGGGCAGGGTCCCTGGAGGGGTCTGTTCCAGAAGTGGGGGAGCCGCAGGGAGGGGATGGGACGCATCAGAGTCTGGAAGCAGCAAAACAGAAGGGCAAAACCCAGCACCAGCACACAGCACCGACATGCACTTGGTGTCATGCTCTTTGTCACCAGTTTAAAAATTTTTTTTTAAAGTGATGGTGGTACTAGGCTCAGGCTTGGAGTGCTGGACTACATCCCCAGCCCCTTCTATTTTTAAGACAGTCTTACTAAGTGGGCCAAGCTGGCCTGAGGTCTGAGGTCCTCCTGTCTCAGCCTCCTGTGTAGGTGGGATTATAGGCATGTGCCACCGTGCCCACCCATCTTGAATTTAGTAAGAGTGTTCTAACAAGGGCCCTCACATTTTCATGTTGCTCTGCAAATTTCAATTTGATCTGCAAATTAAGTTCTAGTTTGAACTAAAGACTCAAAAGCAGAGACAGGCAGAGGAGCCAGGTCACGGACTTGGAGCTACCAGGGCTTCAGTGGGGGCTGGGGCTGCCAGGGGAAGGCAGCTGTGACCTCCTGGGGCTGGGCCCCTCCCGCGGCTGCGCCCCATGCTCCTGGATTCTGCAGAAGAGGCAGCAGCACCTGCATCACACTGCGCCACCTCCACCACATCAGACATGGTCCACCTTCTAGTTCTGCCTTCGAGGGTGTGTGGAGAGGCAAGAACGGCTCCATTTCCAGGAGGGCACTTGACCCAGAAGGGCTTATTCTCTCTATTCAAGAACGTTTTTAAAATTTGTGGTGTTTTTTGTGTGTCTGTTCTCCACCCTTGTGTATCTATTCTGCACTCCTCCATTTTTTAATACACACATGCACACACACACACTTGCACGCATGCAGCTGCCTCTGATCCTGGGGAGGGAACACAGGGTGTCTGACATGCTAGCAAGCCCTTTGTGCTAAGCTACATTCCTCAGCCCCTACAGTGTAATTTACACACAGGAAAACATCCTTTCTAGGATACAATTTTGATAAATGTAGAGTTGTGTAACCAGACCTCTAATCAAGACACAGAAGTTATATCACCCCCAGAATTCCTCTGACCCCTCTGTAGTCAATCCCTCCCCTCCCTGGCCCAGCCCTGCCTACCATTGATTGCTTTCTCAATAACCTTATAGATTTTCTCTTTTTCCCTTTTCATGAGATGTGTTTAACCCAACCTCTCTAATATGTAATGTCAGAACATACTACAAAATAGCAAGAGAAACTATATAAGATACGGTGGAAAAATAAATCTACACTTCCATGGAAAGCATGAAAAACCAGAAATAGATTCCGTTTTGTAGAGAAAAAACACCATAGTGTTTGGAAAAGAGTGGGTAAGGAAGGAATATTTAACAAGTTCAATACAAAATCGTGAGAGAAGATAAGTCACATTCGCACCATTCCTAAAATAAAATGGTGGTACTAGGCTGGTGGTACTAGGTGGTACTGACTGGGGTTTGGGTTTTTCTTCACATGTTCTGGGGCTTAAATCCAGGGACTTCACACTGAACTACATCCTCAGCTCTTTTTAAATTTTGAGATGGTTTTGCTAAATTGCCCAGACTGGACTCGAACTTGTGATATTTTTACCTCAGCTCCCCGACTGGGTTTTTCTTCTTTTAAATTTTAAGAATCTGATCCTAGGAAACTGGCAAAACGTTCCATCAACTATTGCTGAATTAGTGAGAGCAGCTAACGAACCAATCTGCTTTGAAACAATCCCCCCTCAAAAAACAAAAACACGATCAATTTCATTTTCCAGAGAGGGAACAACGACATCAACCCTGTGATACAACGCAGCGCACAGTGCAAAGTAGCCGGGCCGGACGCGCCGACACCACACGTCGGACTCGGAGCCGGTGACCGGGGAAAGGCCAGGTGTGGGCGGCGGCGAGGGTTTCCAGGCCGGGCCGGCTTGGTCTCTGCGCTGGGCCAGGACTGGGGAGCAGTGGGGAAGCCTGGGGTGCTCGCAAAAGCTTGTGAGGTCCTGCCGGCCGCGGCGGCCCCTGCCCCGAGCACATTCCCGCAGCGCCTCGCCCCCGCGGCTTCCGCGGGGGCCGAGACCACCCAGGCTCCGGGCACCCGCAGGCGCCCTCCCCGGGCCGCGGCCCCACCCCTAGGCACCGACTGTGTTCCGGGGGGATGCAAGCCCCGTCCCGGCCCCACCGAGGGGAGGCGGAGTCGACGAATACACGCAGGATTTCAAGCCAGGGCTGCGAAGAAAGCAGCGCTGGTTGTGCAAGTGCAGAAAGAAAATAAAACACTGCAAGGCTGGAGGGGGCGGGGAGGAGCGGCGGAGGGGCGGCCGGCGGGGAGGGGCTGCACGCCCAGCAGGGAAACTGAGCCGGGCTTCGGGGTGCGCGCTGCGGCCGCGCCCCCTCTCCCGTCCACTCGCCGGCCCTCGTTGCTGTCGCGCTTCCCTGGAGACAACGCCCGCTCGGTCGCCAAGCTGCCCGGGCTGCGCTCAGACTCGCGACCCTCCCGCCTCCTTCCGCGGCGCCGGGCTGCAGTCGCGGCCCCCGCCCCGCGAG